TTTGATTTGCTTTCGTGGCTCCCTATAACTATCATGCACTATGTAATCTTTGTCGGTCAAGTCCAGATAGATTCCAACTCGTTTGTCAATCCAGTTTTGTTCGCATTACGAATTCCTGAGTTTAGAGAAGCCCTGGTCTTGTGCTGCTTAAGAAGGCCAGTGGCGCCAGCGCCATCGCATTTATCAAAGGAAGAAATTGAAAAGACAGTTGTTGTGATCCCGGCGACACAGCGGAGAACATTTCCAAAAGGAAACAGTCACGTGCAACTGGCGTTTGAACAAGAAGTCAAGGATACTAAGCAGTGAAAAATTCTGTCATTTAAAGCTTGTACTCTCCACTCAATTATAAAATAAAGAACTTCTTTTTTTTTCTGTAAAAGAGCACTGAACATAAATCTCATTCTTATATCAGATACTGCTATCTAAAGAATATAATGTTTTGCAGAAGCGATCAAGAGAAAGCTGAATGCACAGATTTTGACTCTCGACCCCGTTTGTGCACCGCCCTTAACCACAAAACAAAACAAACTTTAACTCTGTAAAATGCTATTTAACTTAATCCTAAAAGGTTTTAACTGAAGGCAAAAAGTATTTCTTAAAATGCTTTGCGGGATTTCCTAACCGATAATTATTCCGCTGAATACAAACATAATTTTGCGGTTGGTCAAAATAACGAGATTAAGAAAGAAAATTCAAGGGTTCTTGTGAATGGTATGGTAAACACATCTTAAAGTATTTAAGCCGAAATTATGAGGAAAAACAATAAAATAACGAGCGGTCTAAAGTATGTTCTCAAATCCTGTCCATAACAGTTATTCCGCGCGTCTAGTCACCGTCAGACACTCACTCTTATTTTGATTTTGCCGACGATTTTCGAGTGTTCGTCCCTGCATCTTCAATACACTTGCCGAATTCATTATAGACTGGTACTGAGTGTTTCTTTCAGCGTACAGATCTGAATTGGAAGCTTTGCGACAAATTTATCACAGCCAAAGACAATGATAAAAGAGTTTCTTTGCTTCCAGTATTCTTCATTTACCAATTTTGATGTCCATTTCCGAACTGATTACACTGTCTCCAAAACAATTATATCTTTTACAAGCACGTTTTTTTTCTTTTTTTCTTTGAGTGAAACAAATATAGTGTTCAGTCAGCTTGCAGCTGGTTGAGCTAATGTTTAATAAAGTTGCATTTCTTTCTCCCTTTTATAACCAATACGAAATTGTAGGAATCACTTTACCTGCAAAACCGAGAATTTTTTATTCTAAATCCGCATTACGTTGTGGTCAGTATTATATAATTATCAACTTCCTGCATAATGCTTTGGGAAAATTTATTCTACAGCTTCGTTTAAGACAAAGAACTATTTACATACGTTTGACAAAACCTTCAGTTCATTATAAACTTTTACGCTTGCCCCACCTGGAGTATATTTTAAGCTGGTATAAGCAGAAATACAAACTATTCAACATTCAGCACTTTGTTTTTAAAAATCCTGCAGATGAAAGGGTGTCTGGAAAACCCGAATAGCGAATAGCGAATAGTCGCGAATAGCGAACAGCGAATAGTCCCGAATAGCGAATAGCGAATAGTACGAATAGTGCGAATAGTCTTGAATAGTGCGAATAGTGGCGAACAGTCTCGAATAGTGGCAAAAAGTGGCAAATCGTAGCAAATAGGGTAACTACTATCTCGCCGTCAACCTCGCAGCAACGTAGGATGGGATTTTCCCGCTAAAAAGCACAGACGCTTAACAGGACAAAAGATGTTTCTAAACGTAATTTCTTCTGTTTTAACCGCTGCAAAAG